TACTAGAGTAATAATAATAATTTAAGTTATTTTTAAATCCCAATTTTATCGAATAATAGCATTTACTTTTGAATTAAATATATATATATATACGAATATTAGTTTAATTTTCTGTTACTAAATTTTTTTTTTTTCTCTCTTTCTGTCCTATTTTCTTCTCTTTTTTTTTCTTCTCTCCCTCGCTTTTCTCCTTTCCCTCTTTCTCTTTCCATCTCTAACCTTTTTTCTCTCTATCTCTCTCTTTTCTCCTCTCTCTTCTCTTCCCATATCTTTCTTTATCTCTCTTTCCATCTATTTTTTTCCGTTCCTCTCTCTCTTTTCCATATTTTCTTATCTCTCTCTTTCCCTTTCTTTTTCTCCCCCTTTTCCCTCTTAATCTCTTTGTTTTGCCTCTCTTCTTTTTCCCCCTCTCCCTCGGTTCCCTTATTTGTATGTCTCCATCTCTCTCTTTCCCTCCGTCTCCCTTTCTTCCTTTTTTCTCTGTCTACTCTTCTCTTCTCTTTTCTTCTCTCTATGTCTTTCTTTGTTTCACTATTTATCATTCTCTTACTCAGTTCTAGTTTTTACATTTCTTTACGTCTGTTACTTCCTTTTTTCTCTCTCTTTTCTAGTCTTGTTCTCTTCGTCGCAGTTTATTTCGTATTTCGTATTTCTTTTTTTTTGTTATTTTTTCCACTATTTTTGGTATTAGAGTCGACAGGAGTCATTCCAAATATTTATTAGTTCATCAATAAGTAACTGAAACTAACTAGAAAATGAAATTTTTTTACTGCTATGCAGGGCTAAATTGGTTTTTCAAATTTCGAAACTGCGAAATGTTAATTATTTATAAAATAAAGACAATATGTGCAAAAAATTTGTTAAAACAAAAAATTTCATTATGAAAATCATTTATATAATACTTCTACCATTATTACTTACTAACCTATTACTTAAAGTCTCTTGAAATGCTCGTAAAACTTTCTTCTACTTTTTAAACTATTATGGAGGATATAAATTTACTTTTAATTAAAATATATAAAATTTGCTTACAACAAACTTTACAAACCATATTCTGAAGTACTTCCTTCCGGTACACTTAGAATTGTGTGCTTCCACCGAATAATCCACACCTGCATTTACAAATGCAGAAAGGAATAACAATGCCATTTCGGTGAACTACTTATGTAACCGCACTTTACATGATACGCATATCCTGTTGAATAAATTACGTATCAAATTTCTAATTATTTTTTAGAGGATGTCTTTTCTAAATAAAAATAAAAAAATGATTTAAAAATTATTTCCAAAAATTGAGCAAACGGAAGCGCGTAAATCTTCTTTAGTTCTGATTCTACATGTCTAGATTAGCAAACAAAGCTGCAGAGATAGAATTTAAAATTTATTTCGTTTAAAGTAACTCACCAAAAAATAGATTTTTAAATGTTCCGCCACTTCTCCACAATCTTCCACTACTCCAAGTCACGCTTAAATAACGGATTAAGCATCAACGCTTCGCAGACTGAGCAGATGTCGCAAGTGATGTTTTATAAGAAGCCAACTTAAAGACTCTGAACACAACTGCACATATGGAAGTCTGAAACTTTTTTCAGTGGAAATGTCATTTATAAAATCTGAATCTTGTCTCTGACAAGTGCGCTTTTTATTTTATTTTATTTTATTTAATTTTCTTGTTTTTATTCTCTGCTGCTTTGAAGTGCATACTTCACTGAAGTACATGAGCAGATACAACACGTATCTGCTTCTGCTAGTGTCGCTATTGATACTCGTGTCTAAATACTGTTGTTATTATTGCTTCGATATAATACTATAATGCTTGCATACATTTGAGATACCATAAAATATTTTTTTATTATTTTTCAACGCACACGCCACAAAATTGTTCAAATATTAAGACACCAACAAAAGATCGGAAAACATATGCACAGATCCACCGCTGTTTTTATTTGTGATAACCGAGGAACACAACAATTTGATTCTAGTAGAAATATTCTTCCAAATACCTTCGGCTCCTTTTTATATTCGTTAGGCAGCAGATGTTCCCTGTTGTCCTCTTTTATTTTGTTCTGTATACTTCTGTCATCTGTTCTGGAAAGCGATTTCAATCATTAATTAAATGAAACTCCCAAAGCAAGTGACATACCATATTGTAGTGTGGATTCAAAAACTCAATTCAAATTGAGTGAAATTTGCTTTCAATTTAAATAATTTTTTTATATATTTATTATTTAAAATAAATTAGTAAATAATATGGAGTCAGTTCTATTTTAGTATATTTTTCACTCACAGTTCTATACATACTGCTACCTGCTATCATATTTATTCTATGAGTATTTAATTATTTAGTTTTGAAATATATGTAAACACTTGTAGCTTTAAGTGAAAAGATTATTAAATTTGAACGACTTCTTAAGTACTCAGGTTCATTGATTTTGATTCCCGACAATAGGTGAACACATTCAATTAATGCAATTGTAGACGCATTGACTAGACGAGAAATAATAATAACATAATAATACATAATATATGTGTATTTTGTTATGGTGCTTTGCACTTTTAATACTTTACTCGAACTCGTGAGCAACCCTATTGATATGTTCAAAAGATAATATCACTATTACAATCAAAAGTGGGCTGTAAAAAATTCGAGCTTAAATTAACCAGGTAATTTATCGCAAACGTAACACCTCCAATGAAAACAAAGATCATCGTGTCAGAAGTGGATGGTAGCTAGAAAATAATGAGGTTAGCAGATGTAAGCATGCTGATAAATTTGGCATCCCTTTCAACAAGAATCATAGAAGTAATAGGAAGGAAAAAGAACAAAGGACTACTCAACAGTTCCTGTGTAAATAGTCTAGCATTGCCATATTAACACATTATACTACGAAATCTGCAAATTAATAAAGTTGTCTTGACGGGCAAATTAAATAATTTAATTTATCATTTAAAACGATTAGGGTTTAGAATCATATTCGTAATTCTTATGACTACTTGTCTTGAACAGAAGAAAGAACTCACTACTAAAACCAACCAACTTATGTAGTAAATGTACTTAATTGTTTAATGATTAGTTTCTTATTTTAGTAAAGTTATAAGCATACACTCACTATTCCGAAAGATTAAAATAATGTCGCAATTTTTATTAATAAAAAAAATTAATAAAAAAAAGTATAATATAATAGTCATTAGTCCTAAAATTTTAAACTACGAACGCATAGCAATGTTTCCTGAAAAGATCCTCGAGTAAATCTCGACCAAAGACAGTTGCAGCAAAAAGATGTTTTACACCAAGACGAAATACAAGACTAGTTGTCTGAAACAGCAACGGTGCCTAGATACAGTTCATACTAATGAACGTCTTAAATGACTAATAGGGACAGTATCCCAAAGTAATACTAATGTACTCCTGGGGTCGGATGAGGTTTTTAGAAATAAAGGGAAATAAAGTCATACTAGGATAATCTACCATGAATATAATTATTAAAATCAATTATGGGAATTTTTAACCTAAAACGATTTAAGGATTGTATGCAACTTAGTAAAAATATTAAAGGAACCATTAAAGGAACTCTGACAGGGCAAACAATGACCTCAAAAAACTGGAAACTTTGTTTAATGAAACTTATAGATTTTGTGAGAAAAATAATGAGATCTCAAAACACGTGTTGAAAGTTTACCCGATACTGTTACATAAGTGAAATAAATACCTTGGTTGGCATCTCATAGCGCTTGAAGAAATAAGACTCAGTAATGTGGATTCAATACTGTACTATATTTAAGTTGAATTTGAAAAACCAAGTCCGGCCTTGAATCAAGAGTACTCCGCATCCATGAATAGGACAAAATTGATCCCTCGATCGCATTGCAAAATATCCTAATATTATAATAGTAATGATAGTACTAAACTATATAAAAACAAAAATCTATCAGAACTGTACAATTTATGTTATCTATAGACTATATTCTCAGGAAATAGAGGGTTATTAGCTTCCTCCAACTCGCTCTTCAACATACTACTGACGCAAATTGCTTTTGGAATTTATAATTATTTAGTTTGAAAACCATTCTATTTTCAATCTGAATATTTAAATCTAAGACAATTTATGAATTCATTCATGATAACCTAAAATTACTTCAATTATTTTAAAATACTTCAAATGCTCTAATATTTATCTAAAAAAATTGCATTTATTTTCGTATATTATGGAGAAAAAATTATTTTTCTTAAAATTTTAAAATTTATTCTTTTATGTGCCAAAATGTATGTCTTCTTAAAAATGAAAGTCTAAGTTTAATGGTTAAAGTATATTTCCACTGATGCTATAAATAACATTTAATAAATCAATTTGATTTTTAACTTCCATTTTGACGGAAGAAACTAGATTCTTAATATGAATTATGGTTTTCAATAGACAGGTTTTTATTGAACAGTAGTGAAATTGCAACAGCATTATTTTTTATTATTATTATTTTTAATTAATAAAATGTTTGACTGACCATACAGCTGTTTCGATTATTGCCAAATACCCATCTACAGTGGTCTTAGATTATTTCCTATAAATAGTTATTCGTAAATAATTGTTTGAGACTGCAAGCACCAAAGATTGAACTCATGCCCTGTCAAATTTGAAGCTCAGAGTCAGTATTCAGTGTTCATTCAGTACCAACTGACTCAAATCAGCTTTGGATCAAACAATAAAAAAAATATAATTTTTTTAACGCGTTTTTTTTCCGAAAGTGACGCGTCTTATAACAAAAGAAACTATTTAAAATTTAGAAGGGTTTAAATAGAAATAGAACAACAACAACAAAAATTTTAGTTCATTTATTAAAATTTAGCTGATCATACAACGCTGTTTCAATTATTTCCAAGTACTCATCATCAGTGGTCTTAGATAATATTTGAATTTATAATTTTATTTTAATATATTTTTTATTTGTTTTACTTATTATTTTTAAATTAATATTTTTTAATCAATTTGTTTTGATATGTCAAATTAAAATGTAAAATTTTTTGGTTAACACTTTTGGTCAGACAATTACCATTTAATGGCAGTTCCATCAAAAATAGTGTCGACTTTCTAGTAAATAACCAAATCCCAACATTTTTATATATAATATTTTGTAGAAATCAAGTTAAAAAAGTATCTGCAATCGTCAAGTAAACGAAAACCCAAAGAAAACTGTCTAAAAACAGAAAACTTAAAAGAAAAATAATTTGCAGCAGCTGGTTTTCATGCTCGCTTACATTCACAGGATATTTTTTTGGAAGTAAGGAACCTTTTTCTGTTCAATAAGTTAAAAATCACAACAGGCTGTCGAGTTGCAATCACTTTCCAGCTCCTTGTTTGAGTATTTGTTTACAAGCTGGTATCTGCTGTTGCCTTCAGATACTTTAAGATTTTTACTTTGAGTCTTGTGTCTATAAAAGAATCGCAAAGATATTGCTTCTGCATGTATGCGTAATATTTTTGTAAATTGTTGACGATTTTTTACTGTGTATCTTGTGCCCAATCTCACTCAAAACGGAGTTGTTTACAATGTCTTACCAAAGTATCTCACACAAAGTACCTTACTTACCCTATGTAAACTGTGAACTGTGAAAAGTGTGTAAAGAAAAACTGAACAAATTCCTACTCAACTCAAAGTGACAACGACATAAACTTGTGGTGCAACAAACTCGTGCGTATCTTTGAGTTAGTAGCTACCTAAACAGCGTTCCATGCGTACGTATCCTTCGAAACTGTTGTGTTAATTATAATGAAATTTTATTTGTTTTTATTGGCGAAAATAGACACTCATTTCGAACCGCGTGTGAATTTTTAGAAAAATTTTAGTGTTAATAAATTGTGAAAATTATTTAACAATTTTGTGAATTATATAAAATATTTTTCGAATCTGATTTGGAATATTTATTATGGTAGCAAATCGGGAGCGATCAATTACACGGCAATTACGTGCGTTGAGAATTGCTTTGACAAATTCCAAAACCGCCAGTTTATCAAACGCGACTTCAAATTCAATTGCAACCGTTAAAACTGTCAAATCAATTACAATTTTACAATCGAACGCTGCCATGAAACAGCAAAAAGGTTCATATGAAGTTGTTAGCAAAATGTCAGTGAAACCAAAGACCACTTCATCAGCACCGGCATCCAAAACAACAACGCCAACCAAATCGTTGAAAAAAATGCACAGAAATCAACGGTGAGTTTTTCAAACTGGCATCTGATTTCAATTACGGCCAATATTTTTTATTGAAATTTTTTATAATTTGACTTCCATAAATCATTTAATTCAATCATATCATTGCAATTAGATTGCAACTTAGAGGAAATAATTAAATAAATAAATTGATTAACACAAAAGTTACGTATTCGATAAGTGGAGCTGGAAATGTTGTTATGCGATGAAATCTACATTTTATGGTGCAACATAGGTCATAAGATAGATAAGAGTAGGTCAGTTTATATTTGAATGGATTAGTTAATTTTAAACTAACATGTATCATTGAGACCACTGCTTCTCAATGATACATGTTAAAGACATGGTCTCTAAAATTCTAGTACTGTTAAAGGTTGCTTGCAAACCTTGTAGATGAATGCAGTAGTTGTCAAAGTGTTCCCATTAATTAAACACTCTTATGAGATCATTTTGATTGCCTGTTTGGGTAACATAATATATATACCCCCTTTGCGGATATATAACTTGTAACTTCTTAATTTTAGGAAGTGCCCTAGGAATTATCACTGTGTATAAATATAGAGATAATTCCTATGATTCACTTATTCCAAGTATGGCGAAATTGTCTCTAGTAAATAAGCATTGTATGAATTTCTACCTTATACCAGATATTAAGGGATCATCGACAGTATTATTTTCACAATGATCAGCTGTCTGATCTCTTATTAACTACTCAAAGTAATCGTTTATAGCCTTCATCGGTGGCAATGGCATGCTCAAGATGCAACAAAACAAAAAAAAAATTTTTTTCACAATAAAAATATTTGAAGACTATGATTAAAGACAAATTTTTGAATGAAAGTAAAGTGGATGTAGGGAAAAATTTACATAAATGAAACGGATTGATTTAATTTTAATTTTAGTCAATCATGTTAACGTTCAATGATCTAAATAAGTCCTATATGCAGTTACACGTATATATATTTGTCAAGTAGTATGAAAATAATTTTTTATGCCTGATGTTTTAAGATATCACGGTTTTCAAATAGGATATATTCTTTTTGCTTTAAAATATACAAAATAAATGTGTTAAAATTTTTCTTACTTTCAATAAAAGTGCGTTTCGAACAAACAACAAAAAATTTCAAGAGTCAATAACCTTCGTAGCTATTCTTTATTATTGGTATTTTGTAAACCTATAAAGTCTTAACTAAATTCAAAAATACAATATGCAAATAGAAATTAAATTAGACTAACTGTTGAATAAATGTTCCTAGCGCAATGTTTTGATCCACTCAATGATATCCAAGCCGAATTTACGCCGAATTAATTTTTATATGGTTTTCAAGTAAAGATAGGTATATCCTCTTAAAGTAAAAAGTATTTGAAATTATTTTATTAAACACAAAAAAAAATCATTGATCAATGAAAATTTAATTTGTCACGCATAAAGTACAACCCACCGAGTACAATACATATAATACATGGAAAATAGGGCTGTAGACGTAAGTAATTTGACATTGTTTGTAGATCTGTTTTAAAGAGTTGGACATATAAGCGTCTGAATTATATGATTTTCCAAACTTAAGTGATTAAATTTACTTACTTACTGTTGTTCCCTTTTACTTGTGTTGCATTGGGCCTCTATCATAGCTTCAAATCGTACTCTATTGGGTGCTTCGCGGCATACCTATATCATTCCAGTTATAATTTACATTATTGAGTTCTCTGTCTATAGTTCTGCGCCAAGTTTGTGCTGCAGCACCAGGCCTTCTAGAGCCTCTGAGTGCTGTTCTTGCTATATGGTTCGCAGATCTACGAAGTGTTGGCCACACATGTATAACGTATATCAAAAGATGAGCGGTAGTTTAAGTTTATTTCTCTATTAGTCTGAATATCTTTTTTGAAACGCTTGACTTTTACTTCTTCTACATCAATACTATTATCAATTCAATAAGGAACATATGTATATCTTATTATTTATACCTCTTTCGGCATAATTTATTTTAAAAATTTTGTTTCATTACTAAACCTAATAAAATTTATTTTATATATTTATTATATTAAATTTATAATCAAAATATTTCCTTAAAGATGACTATCGAATATAGTCGAAGTATCGAAAAAATATTTTAATAAAATATAATTTGTTTTTAAATATATACAATACATCATCGTTTTTTTTATTTCTATTTAAATGACCAATTAGCCCACTAATAAATTATTATAAAATTTATAATAATTATTTAAAATCTTATAAAAAAACAATCTTATAAAAAAAAAACAATATATTTTTATCCTTAAAATAACTATCTTTTGGTTTTAAAAAAACATCTATTTCTGCTTTTAAAAATATTAATGCACACTAAAACCACACGAAATAATTCTAGTCAATGACCAGATGTTAAAAATCCATAACGTGCTTTCCATAACTTACCTTCACTTAATCCTAAAATGTTGTTTTAAAGAATGTATATCACCTGCAGATGCTACGGATCATACCGATCAAAAGAATGTTGACGATAATTAAAATTCCTCTCTTACTTTTTATCATATGTTCACCTTTAAGATGTCTGCTTGAAATTCCTAGAGAAGCAACAAAACACTGCATTCCTTCACGCATCATCAGTTTTAATCCATTTTACATACGACAACAACAAAAAGGAATAATGTAAAAAAAATATCAAAAGATACTAAATTCAAATCTTTAAGTAAAATCAAAAGTATTTTTACTCCTGTGTTGTATCTTTTTCATACAATGTTTACTGTTTTCATTTCAAACAAATATTACTGTTGCTTATGGTTTTCTTTATTTGTGCACAAACATATCCTGTTGTTTCAAATTCCTGCAGGATATTTCAAAAATTTTTCAAATAACTTGTAATATAAGAAAAAATTTAAAATACTTTTGCATCGACTTACTTGTGAAGCAAGTTAGAGTATCTTTAGTAGAAAAGATGGATTTATAATATTTTGGCATCGACTTACTTGTGAAGCAAGTCAGAGTATCTTTAGTAGAAAAGATTGTTGCTTAGTTAAAAGAAAAAAT